TCCCTGGGAAATTCTGTTTTGGAGTGAGAGAGCCCAGGACTCCCATCCTCATTTGGTCACCACTCCCAGTGTGACATGGAGCTACAAACGAAATCTCTCTGAGCTTCTATTTCTGCACCCTCGCAGTGTGGACCATAATACCCATCTTGATTGAATATATATGAAGCGAGTATAATTGTTTAGTCTGTTAGTTTATATTATTATTATTACTTACTATCATTTCAGAAAAATTAGGTACTTTCTTCTCATTTGGTCTAAGAACATCATTTCATGGTTATGTGGCATGCAGGCGGATGAAATCCTTTGGAAAATTCTGTCACAAAATCTAATTCTTTGTGTTTAAACCTTTTATCACTTAATGACCATACTCTGGTCCTTTACAACCTTCTGCAACTTCCCCCTGGAGGTTGTATAAGAACACCCTTACATCCAAAGTCCCTGGAATTCAGCATAATTCACATGGTTATAACTTACTAAAATTCTCTCTTTTGGTCAATTTCTAACTGCTCCTAAACTTTAATATTCGTAAGCATAGACTTTGGTCTCGTTTTTCTCATAACTCACAACAAATTGTGTTTTGCACATAAATGATGTTCTATACAAAGTTAAGAAAACGAATGTATGAATTTATGTTTAGCCTGAATTATGGATAGTAATGCCAGAGTTTAATTTTTCTGTACATATGAAGATGATATCATTTGCATTATGTTGAAGTAAAAAGAAGTCCTAACAAAATAGCTCTATTTTCAAATAACCTCAAAAAATAATTATGCAACAATTTAATCCCAACTTATAAGGATATATTTACATAAAATATTTTCCCCAAATATAACAGTTAGTGAGTCAATTCAGTGATTTTTGACCTGTTTCATAATAAATGCAAACAATCCATTGCCATCTGGATAACTATTGACCAAGAAAATAATTGTCTCTGGCATCATTTATTTCATAATTATATAAAATATGTTCTAAGGCTTTAATGTAGATATTTTTAATTATCTTTGCCTAATTATATTCATTACAGTAATGCCAAAAAATTGGAAACATTTATGTATTGAAAGTTTCTGATAATTGGAATGAAGTGAATTTTTGGAGTTTCCATCTTTTTTTAAAATTCTCAAGATTAGGATCATAAAAACAGCAAAGCAGTAATGCATAAAAGAATTATTAGGAGTCTAATAAAATTATTTGGATCTCCAACTATAGCAACACTGATTAATGACTGCTTTTTAATTAATGGGAAGTTGTTCAATCATTGTAACATTTCATTTGCCTGAGAATTTTTATGTAAGGGTCAGGCCAAAACACATGCTAGTTCAATCTGCAATAAGGTATACTTACATAATTTTTTCTTCTTGGCAGTACAAGTGTAAACTATTTATTTCTCAGTCATTCACCATAAAGATAGTGTTTCCTGCCCAGCTGGCTAGTTTGATCAATGAAAACAGCCTTATACATTAGAACACGAATAAATTTTACTTTTAAACTCTGTGAATTCAAGCAAAATAAAGCCCATAAGCTATTCTTATTGTAAATCTTTAATTATTATGTGGTATGTGTTCAGCCTCTTTATTTTTCACATGGATACATAGCATTTACCCCAGCAGACTTCCTTGGGGTCCTAAAATCTACACGATGGTCTTTGAATAGGTACTGGAACAGAACAGAGGTACCTATTTGAGAAATGTTAATTTGATATCACTCTTATATTGTATAAGATTTTACATATATATGTACATATATATGGATATATGGATAAGGTTATATACGTGGAGAGAGAGATATATGTATACATCTCCATTATGTGTCTAAGTCCCAGTTCTGCATATTTCCCAGTAAGGGCCAACATAGCTAATGAGAATCTACCCACTAGGGTTTCCAAATTTGCATTTAGGTAAAAACTAGAGCCAGCATGTGCCCTAATCATATTGACAGCTAAAAAAATAGATTTCTCCAAACCTGAAAAATCTAAAATGGAGGATCAGTGACACTTGCTTCCACAGCAAAAGTGCATACCCTCCTTTCATTGTCTAAGCAGGCCAAGTGCAAGTCTCTGACTGGAGGTATCAGACCTGCTACTGTCGGTGCCGTCACACCATCGTGATGGTTTGGGTGGTCTACAGAGCTGTGGGCGAGAAAGAGACCTTTCCGAGCTACAAGTGATTAATGCACTATCTGCAGACTTTCAGCCTGAGTTAAGGTACGGAAGCCTACTATTCCCACTTCAAAAAATATGCACGTTTTGTGTATGTGTGTAATAGGAAGGTTTAGGTAAGATTAGTTTTCTTTTTTTTTTTTAAGTTTTTATTTATTTTTTGACAGAGAGAGAGAGAGAGATCACAAGTAGGCAGGCAGGCAAGCAGAGAGAGAGGGAGAAGCAGGCTTCCCACCCAGCATGGAGCCCGATGTGGGGCTCGATCCCAGGACCCCAGGATCACTACCCAAGCCGAAGGCAGATGCCCAACCGACTGAGGTACCCAGGCGCCCCAGATTAGATAGTTTTCTAATAAATAATCTTTTGTTATGGTCAATATGTCTTTGACAAACAAAAGTTATTTGAAGAGACTACCTCTGCTTAGTTGTCATTTAGAATGTACAATCCATTAGGGTGAATGGTTCAGGAAAGCCTTACACTCCATAGCTTAATTCATTTTCACCACATTTGCCAAAGATCTTAGAAAACCAAAGTTTATTTTCTATCTACAATATGGTTAAGCTATCCCCCAACATTCTGGTTGAGTGAAATAATTGAAAGTCAACATGAGAGGAATGATGAGTAACAAACGTAATTGTAATAGGATGCAGTATAGTAGGGGAAAAAAGATGCCAGGTGTGAAAGGAGACCAGGAAAACACCATAAAGAAAATGGTGTCCTCCGAAAAGGGGAGAGCGGCGTTCTGTTCTCCTGATGATATGTCTGCTCAGGCAGCTGACTGGATGATCTGCTCTCAGAGCCTAACTGAGCAAGAAGGGCAGATTTGAAAGGAGGTGGCCGGACAGAGAAACCATTCAGTAGAACAGCCTGGGAAGTCCCTGTTCAGTGTGACAAAGATGGGTGAGTGTCCTCAGGGTCAAGTGGGCACAACAGAAAGCTAAAATTGAGAAATCATGCTATAAACTCACCCAAGAATACTGTCCTCTATGTAAGGGGACCCTGGAATTAAGAAGTTGGAAGGTCTACTGCATGGGTTCCCATATCAAGTTCCCTTGTAGATGGGATGTCCAGAGCCCCCCACATCAAATAACTGAAAGATCACTTAAGAGGACAGTGTTTGGGCAACTGCCTTGACTGTATAAGTACCGCGCGCTAACTGATTGTGCAACTGGAGCTCTGGCAACTACCTTTACTGCCAGTCCATTGAGCCCTAGAAGCAGTGGCAAGCAATGGAGTATTATATGGGGGCAGATAAGAGAGACTTATGTATCTGCCCTTCCCTCTGTCTTTTCCACTGTAGCAGGCGGGAAAACGTGTATCCCCAACAGCGAGGAGTCACAGTTCCAACTCGCGGTGGCCTCGAGTTCTGCAGTCATCTATTGCTGTTTAACAACCAGTGACCTTAAAATGTAGTTGCTTGAACTAATTACTCTTTTTGTCCTTCTCCCAATGTTGTGAGTTAAGCATCTGGGCAATGTTGGTCCAAGTATATGTTCCATTTCACATGGCATTGGTGGAGGTTGCACTGTGGTATCACTCTAGCAAATGGCCTGGGCTAGAGATTCCAAGATTGTTTCATGCACATATGCAGCGCACTGGCAGGTATGATTGGAAGGCTGAGCTGAACTGGGATGGTCAACCTGACCACCAATATGTGACCTCACTAGTGTGGCAGCCTCGGGGTAGTCGGTTTACTCACAGGACAGGTCAGTGGTCCAATAAACAAGGTGAAAGCCATATGTTCTTTTATGTTAGTCTTACCCTTAGTAATCAGAATAACCACAACATAATGAAATCAGCTAAAGATATCATTAAGGCCTGGGAATAGGTGTCTGACTGTTCGTGTTTCAAAGCAATTGTTGAAGATAAACAAAACTATTTAATATTTACACCCCACTGAATTGAGACTGAACAAAAAACCCCTCAACAGAAATATTCAGTTAGCTCTTCCTTGCATAGAAAAATGAAATTAGCTGTCAAAGTATGTGTACCAGATGAACAGAATAAGATGAGAAAGAAACAAAATGAAAGATGCTCAGAAGGGATTTCCCCAAAACTTTCAAGAGACCATAAGCAGATGGATGGGAAGATGCACTTTCTTGTGCAAACAATTACATTGATAACCAAATGTCACCATTCCCCCCCAGTAATCTGTTACCTTAGGAAGTTGTAACAGTATCCTAGGTTGTCCAGTCAAACATATTGAGAGCTTTGTCACTCTCAGTCGAGAGGATTCTCCTCCGGACCAACCAGAAATCAACACCATGGATTGATCCTAACAATCCTATCGATTCTGAGTGACTCCCTAAAGAAAAGTACTTAGAGCTCCTGTATATTCCACAGGGATGTTCATTAAAAACAAAAACAAAAACAAAACAAAACATTAAAGTTACATTCTAAGAAAAGGAGAGAGAAGCAAGAGCGGTGACTTTAAAAATACTCTCTTCAGTTTCAGAAAAGATTTCAGAATAGGCGATTTTGTGTGAGAATTAATTCTTCCTGCCCGGCCTCTGAAGCTGCCAATAATATTCTATATGGAGGTCGGGTGTGGAAGAGAAGTTGGAATGCTGGAGGATAGTTGAGGGTAGAGCGTGGAAAAGGATGAGGTCACACAATGAAATGCACTGCTGGATATTCGTGCAAGCCTGCAAACAGGGCTCACTGGCAACTGTCAAAAATTTCTCTGGACTTATGCTATGAGGAAAAGGAGCAAGTTTCTGAGTTTCCCCAGGAGACCACTCAGCTGTCAGTCCAAAAATGAAAAACACCTCAGTGGGGACTCATTTGAGAGTGTTCAATCCAAAGAACTGCAGTGTAACATTGATTCCGTCCAGGCCATACTTACTAACTTTACTCGCAATTATGGAGAAATTATACTGCGCGGTGCTTTCTCTGTCTAGTAGTTCTTTAGTGGCGATGGTTCCTTCGGTTCCGTCTATTGTAAAGTAGCTGTCCCCATCACTCTTCCAATCTATGAAGTACCTGCATATAAAAGCGTAGATGCAAATATGCCGTGATTACTCAGGAATCATAATGGCAGTCGGGCTAACTTGACACAGTTCCTGATTTTTCTCCCTGTAGCTATTACCCACCTTGCTATAAAGAAGAGTCTCAATGACAGCTTCTTTATTGCAAAGTCACTATGCTCAAGGGGAAACTGGAAATAATGAAAGATTTAGTACTCCTGCTGTTCGTATTATTTTAGGGTCTTGACACCTTGAAAGCTCAGCAGAGACTAAAATTCTAAAGCTGATCATGGGTTTCCTTAACCTGCTGAATATTAAAACTTTTCCAAGTAGTAGAAGATTCCTTACAGCGGCTGTGGGAAGAGCTGGGGGTGGGGGAGGCTTCTGGCTACTGCTACAAAGAACTTAGGCCAGAACAAAGGTAGAATCTTTATTTCCACAGATAGGAAAGAATCATATTATGGAAACTAAGGGGCAATTTTGTTATTGGCAATGGGGCGATTGTACAGAATTATTTTCCTCAAACACATATAAAAGAGCCACTGTTGTTTAATTACTCTATATATCAGAACAACTTTCTAAAAAAATAAAACAGTGAACTTAGCTAATAATGTCCCTTTATCTTCTTTATTCATTAACCTATTTGCTAATAACAGATGTTACCTTCTTTTTTTTAAGATTTTTATTTATTTATTTATTTATTTGAGAGAGAGAATGAGAGACAGCACAAGAGGGAAGAGGGTCAGAGGGAGAAGCAGACCCCCCAGCTGAGCAGGGAGCCCGATGCGGGACTCGATCCCGGGACTCCAGGATCGTGACCTGAGCCGAAGGCAGTCACTTAACCAACTGAGCCACCCAGGCGCCCCAGATGTTACCTTCTTTACATGGACTAAAACAATCCAAGAAAATTAATTAAAAAAAAAAAAAAAACAGAAACTGAATTTATATAAATCTTTATATAGCAGATACATAGAGTGAAAAAAATCTTTTTCCAACACATATTTTCGACCACAGTAATAAACATTTTGAAATCTTAGCACGTTCCAGATACTGTTCTAAATGCTTACATGTGTTACCTTATTAAAGCCCCACCAAAGCCCTAAAAAATAAGTATTATTCATCTCCCTATTTTACCGATGAAAAAACTGAAGCATAGAGATATTAAGGAATCTGCCCCAGTTCACATAGAAAGCTTTAGAGCTGATACTTGAACCAGGTCATCAATGTTTTCTCTATGATTATCATCATGTAGTCTTACCAATTTTAAATAGAACATTTTATGTAAAAGGGCTCTGCTCATCAAAAGGCTCAATGAGCAATATATTTATCACCATTACTCTAGCCTGGGAATCACAGCAAGGTCAACACAAGGCCAAAGTTAGTCAAGTCATGTACTTCAAAACAGCAACGTTAAAATACCTGAACTACAATGCTCCCACACAAACCCCTAAAACACAGTCCACGGGCACAAACAGCCAGGCCCTATTTCACCCAACGATGTTTTTGTTTGTCTCTTATTCACTATTATCTGGTATCTAATCTTTTGCTCCGTCACCTCGTAAGTTTTGGTACGTCCCTTCTCTGGATGTGATCCTCTCAAAAAGCTTCCTGCCTTCTTCTGGAGTACTACTGAAACTTATCTGAACGTTTTCTACTCAGCTAAACATCTTCAGCATCTTCCCACAGCCGATCAGACTGCAAGACTGTGGCTCTAATACGAGGTCCTGGCATTTTCCTGACGTCCTGTCTTTGTGAGACAGAGCCAGCCCTGTGCCTGACTGAACAGTAATCGTGAAGCAACAACCACCACTCTAAACCGTGATGTTCTGCACAAGATAGCAATTAAAGAAATGACCATCGACGAAACTGAAAATGGAACTCCTACATTTCCTAGACATTTTCAGAGAAGACATGACCCTGTCCTAAAATGTCTAGATTGTTTTCAGGAGATACGCCCTCCCAGTGTGTAGATCCCATGTTTAATTTAGGTTTGCCATAGTCCACAGCCAATCTATGGCTACAGTGATATTTTAACTGCAATTAATCGCCACTGTATAACAATGGACTGTCTAATTTGGCCTCACTCACCAGTGTAAATGAGCAAAACCCTGAAATAGAGAATTTGAATCACCTTATGCTTTTCTAGTAAGTAGATGAGATTTAAATTTTTAAAAAATGGGTTTATGATCTATATATGATGGAACAAATGTATAGTTCATATAAGTATGCAGCCGCTGTTGCTAAGAAACCTCTTTTAACAATTGAATAGAAATCAAAAATTAAAGCATTAACCTAATCTGTGCAGACCACTTGACAGAGTACAATTTTATTACTTTTCTGTAAATGAGTTTTCAGAAATGCCTTAAAAAGTTTTCTTCTCTTCATTAGGTAAGCATTCTCCTTAAAATTGTGTCTTTTAATTTGCCTAATAACTTTCTCACAGTTAATGGAAAAGCTAAATTCTCAAACACATTTTGTAAAAAGTACTTGATGGGAGTGAGTTACTCTAAAAGTATTACATCTCGTTCCTTAAGCAATAAAGATTAGGAGTAATGATTCAGGTCAGGTAGGCAATTTTATTTTGTTAATGTGATAATAATCAAAATCTCTTCCCTCTATCTTCTTTTAGTCACTGTTTTTTTGTTGTTGTTGTTTTGTTTTTGTCTTGGGGAAGATAATTAAATGAAAGTAAATTCAGTTCAATTTATTTCCACATTTTATTGAGAACTTACGCCACATACAGCAACAATTAAGATTATAATTGCTTCATCAAGAATCACAATTACATTTTTTTCGTAGAAATCCTAACATTTCTCTAGAACTTTTTAAATAGTAGTTGCTAGTTTCCTATTAGTTCCTCTTTGTTTTGTTTTTTTTCCTAATCCTCCTCCTCATTCTAACTTTCCTCTTAGTAAAATTAAGAGTTATAGCATAGATAGTTTAGGGAGCTTCTCTTGCTTGTTTGATGTTAAACTAAACATTTTATAAATTATAATGATTTAATAAAGGCATAACCCTTCTGTCTTCAAATTTTCCTTTTGGAAGCACATAATATCATTAAAACACAAATTTAAAGAAAGATAAGTGCATCATAATCTACGGTTTATTAAAATTATAGTTGTTATATTTTTTTCCCTCCAGGTTACTTAAGATTTTCTTTTCTTTTTTTTTTTTTTAAGATTTTATTTATTTATTTGAGAGAGAGAGACAAAGAGAGCATGAGCAGGGGCGGGGGCAGAGACAGAGGGAGAAGCAGACTCCCCACTGAGCAGGGATCCCAATGTGGGACTAAATCCCAGGACCCTGAGTCGTGAACTGAGCCAAAGTCAGATGGTCAAAGGACTGAGGCCACCCAGACACCCCATGATTTTCTCATTTCTTAAGTCCTTTTTAAATAGTCCTATATGATCTTCTGACTTGTATCCATTTATGTATCTGGATGCCAACTTTATCTTCTCCCCAAGTTTTATACCCGGATTTGGGTTTATTCTTCAGAAACTCTGAAGCAGCTTGCCCTAATGGGAAGAAAGTAAAGTTTAGGCAAATATTGATCCAAATTTGGGTTCTGCAGTTAAGAGCTTCAATATTAAACAGGTAGTCTCCATTTTCTCGTGTATTAAAACATATGGACAGTACTACATGACGCAGTAAGTGAATAATGTGATCGTCCCTTCGCTCATGTTTCTTCCCCTGCAGCCATACCAAATCCCTCCAGGCAGCTTTATTGCTTCCTTATTACAAAATTTTATCTTCGTACTTCTCTTATCTAATTTATCAATTTTAATTGGCATTACAGTCTCTCTCAAACTAATTGTAGCTTGTTTTGTGGACGACACAGAAAGTTTCTAGAGAGTAGGAAGGATTCATCACCAGGTTTATTGTTCTATCCCTAGCATCTTGTACTTTATGTATGAATTGTATTATTTTATAAGAACATCTGACTGTTGTTGTTAATAATAGCCTGATCACATTTCAAGCACAGAGTTATTTATTTGGTATCTTTGAATATGCAAACATATGAATTTTGAAGTCATTTTCAGGTGTCTTCAACAAAACTATTTCTTTGAACTGAATCAATTGCCTGTTGTTGCAAGTCACAGTTGGATTTATTTACTCTCTCTAGTAGCTGTGGCCAAATGTCTCTGAAGAAAGGTACCATTTTAACTAGTCATTTACCATTTAAGACCCGAATATAGACATCATATTTGAAAGACAGATTTTATTCCCATTTTTTTCCTAATAACTGAGTTTTATCTCCTCCTTGCAATTTGTTTATTCTTTAGCTCCTTTACACTCTGAAAATTACTCATGTTCTCCTAACTTGTCAAATACTCTTCTTTTTTTTTTAAGATTTATTTATTTAGGGCGCCTGGGTGGCTCAGTCGTTAAGCGTCTGCCTTCGGCTCAGGTCATGATCCCAGGGTCCTGGGATCGAGTCCTACATCAGGCCCCTTGATTGGCGGGAAGCCTGCTTCTCCCTCTCCCACTCTCCCTGCTTGTGTTCCTGCTCTCGCTATCTCTCTCTCTGTCAAATAAATAAATAAAAATCTTTAAAAATAAAAAATCTAAAAAAAAAAAAAAGATTTATTTATTTATTTGAGAGAGAGAGAGCAGGGGGAGCGATAGAGGGAGTGAAAGTCTTAAGGAGACTCCGTGCTGAGTGTGGAGTCCAATGTGGGGCTTGATCTCACAACCCTGAGATCATGACCTGAGCCAAAGCCAAGAGTTGGACACTTAGCCGCTGTGCACCCCAGATGCCCCAATTCATCAAATAGTCTTATAATATTTTCTAAGGAGAGGGTTTCATAACTCTGAAATATTTGAAGTAACTGATCATTTAAAAAAAATCAAAATAATGTGAAATTTCAAATAAGTGTGAGAAAAGGCTATTTTCTAAAAGCAATTAAAGAAATCATAGAAAGGAATGAGGTATAAAATGTGTATAACTTATATGGGGTACTCCTCAGCATTTCAAGATAAAGCAAAGAATTGGAACCAGCAAAAGGTAAACTCAAA